CTTGTGCGCGTGCATTTAGTGTGGCATTCCTATGTGCTACATAACTTGGAAACTAATGGGAGCACCCATCTGATGCACCAGAAGATTGTTGATGCTGCCCTATTTTCAGGAAGCGCAACTCGCTGAGCTAAAGAGCAGCTGATAATGCCGTGATGTAGATATTGGAGAAATGACTAGACGTTCGCACAGAGCACTAATGCATTCATTTATTTTATCGGCTACCATCTCTCTGGAAGCAACGTGTCGGCTATGATGTGAGGATAAACGCGTTTGTGAAGCCAGGAAGTCGAAGATGGTGTCTATCATATCGGACCATCTCGTGCACATGAAGATTGGAATACGCTATTCGCGTGCTTCCTTGTCATATCCGTCTGTGTGTGTGTGTGTGTGTGTAAAATCACACAGCAGGTGCTGTCGTAAGTTTGTACAACGACAGGACGTAGCCTACACAATGTCACTGTATCATCAGGGCCAGTGCTCACCTGCATCCTTTACATTTTTACCTGTTGAAAAAAAATATATCTATGGTATCCGTTTAATATGCTTTGACGGATTTCTCTGTGTTTGATCTCTTTTAATTGCCCCCCCCCCCCCACCTCTCCCCAGAAGTGATTTGAACATTTGCTGGCGACACAGTGTGCCGTTGACTTGGGACAAATAAGCTTACGTTTGGGAGCGGTCGGTCTTTGTCGGAAGTGGTTGGTCTTTGTCGGAAGTGTTTGGTCTTGGTCGGAAGTGGTTGGCCTGGGTCGGAAGCAGATGCCTTCAGTCGGAAGCGGTTACCCTCAGTCGGAAGCGGTTGGTATTAGTCGGAAATAGTTGGCCTGGGTCGGAAACGGTTGGTCCATGAACTGACAGGACCGTGAACTCAATATGAAATATTGTTATAAATGTTAAACTGTGTAAATAGTCGTCTTGAGTTAAAACAGGAAATAATCCATTTAACATTATTCTTATGGGGAAAATGGTTTACATTGTTTGACAACGTGGTGTTCGAACAACTTTTACGTACGAATTAAGCTCGAGAACCGAGTGTTCACTCTCTGTAAACGTTTATAACAAATATCCAGAGTTTCGATCAAAATAAGTTTTGCCTACGACATAAAAATAATATAAACCGAACACAGTTTATCAAGTAACGATAGTCCCTGATCGGAGAGTAAGTTTTACCACGCTACCAATCCTATCTTATTGCAGAATGCCGCACGAGTTGAAGCATTACAACCGCAAAGTTGTTTGGTAATTAAATGTACCAGGTTAAAGTTTCGCTGCATTATTATTGCATTAACTTTTTATTCTGTGATAAATTGAAATAATTGGCAAATATTTGAAATATTCGAATGCTTGGCGTTGATTTGTAACTGCGTGGGTTGGTAAACAACGCTGTTCCAAGCATCCAGGCGTAGGGTGGCGGCAGCTAATTTTAGCGCTAATGGCTACAGTGCGGTGGATGGCCCTTAGCATCTGTTTATTGCATCCTGTTGGTCTTGCAAATTTTGTCATTCAAGATAATTATCGAAAACATCACTCATTGTTTGCAAAATTTTCTTGAATCGTAATGATAATCGCAGATTGAAATAACGTGCACACCAAGTACAACACTGCACACGTTAAATTAGAGTAGACTTCTCTTTGTTGGTTCTTGTGTGTGCTTATCTTTTACCATGTGCAAAATTTGTCTTATCTGAAGTATTCACTGCTCGTTATATCTGCAACTCACTGTGGATTGCAGTTGTGATAAGCTGTTGGTTGAAATACCACACCAAACAGTGTAACTTAATATCATCATCATCAGGTGCCTTGCAGACTGGCGTGGGCGATCATGCCTCCTCACAATCTGAATATAAAGAGCGAATTAATGGTTTTAGGTTTTGAAAAATGGATCAAAATCATGGCACACGGGTATTAACTCATAAGTGCTTCATACTTCTTCTAACTCAAGTCTGAGACCGAAGAAGCTCAGCGCAGTGCACAGGCTTTGTAGCACCGGTGAGGATCCTTATATACTTTGAGTAGATTTTTAACTCCATATTTTGCCCGGCAGCGCCGTTAGACTAATGTTTTCGATTTTCAACTACCAAGGGATTTTTTACGTGCGCAACAATGCTCACGGGCGTCCGTTCTCACTACCCAGACACCAGGGGGAATTACTAGAAGTCTAAATCCACGTAAAAAAATCCCGGGGATTGAACCCTCTAGCACTCGAGGCGAACACCCTGCTCCGAGACCACGCAGCCTCCCCCCCACCCCGCCCCTCCCAAGGGGAATTAATAAGGAAACACACCACTTGTTGCCAGTTTTATTTGCCAGTTTGTATATTACTCTTATATATATATATATATATATATATATATATATATATTATATATATATATATATATATTATATATATATATATATATATTGTGTAACCCTTCCTAGCGTCATTGCTTTTATGCTTCTGCTTCTACAGAGGACACACGCACTACAACCAATTATTTTACTGTTTCTTGACTTCAGTCAAATTATCGTAGGCAAGAGACATTACTGTTGTGTGAAATGTGACTTCAATCAGGAAGTATCAGTATAACTGGAGGGTGAGTGTCAGGAGCTCTTGAAGAATAAGTGTTTAATTTTATGATACAGGTGATGAGATCTAAATGTTTATCACTGTTGATTGCGTTAATTTGAACGGCGCGTTTTAGCGCATTGGTGAGATTTCGCACATTGACGTTGAATGATATGTTATACGGCAAAGTAGAATAATGACCGGGAAGGAGGGGGGGGGGGGGGTGAACCGACTAACCGCTCTTTATTTTATTTGCGTGTCGCAGGCTGTTTTAACGGGTAAAAATCTGCATCAATGTCTTGTAGAATGTTTTTCAGTTGTTAATTTACAATTTTTCCCTACTCAGATTTAGTTTATTATATTGAACTAGTGTTTTGTTACAGAATTATGTTAGAGATGCTAATATAGGTCATCTGGCATCCCGTTCACTGTCATTTCCTAAATTGGCCCCGCCCATCTCTATTGTTTGTCGTAGATATTATTTTATTTATGTGCAGTCTGTTATTATTTGTTATACTTAATTTACTGTTCCTGCTGATCCTTTGTCTTTCAACCAACAAAACCGGATCATCTCTTATGCTGCTTATGAATTGTCTTCCAGTATTCAGTCGTGGTCCTCTCTCTCTCTCTCTCTCTCTCTCTCTCTCTCTCTCTCTCTCTCTCTCTCTCTCTCTCTCTCTCTCTGTGTGTGTGTGTGTGTGTGTGTGAACATATATTCTGTGTATAAACACTGCAACATAATTTAAAAAGCCATACGAATTCTACCTGCCTATATGGTGCCATGTCAGTTTACGCTGCGTTAGCGCTACTCTCTAGGATCCGACTAGATTTGAGTAACTAATACATTTTCTGGGCTAATAAACGCATATTAGTACATAATAGTTGTTTTGAATGGTTCGGACATGTGTCGAGATGCTTCAAGACAATGTGCCACAGAGAGCCCTGTCAGTTAGATACAGTGGAAGCAGACCTAGTTGTTGCTCATTTAAGTGATAATATCTGAGATTTTGAATACCAGCATCTGTGTGGTACACACCAGTACCTCTTCCAGATCTGACGTTGAAATTCAGAATAGGAAATAGATAAAAAAAAAAAAGGGAAAACAATAGGGGAAAAAAAAGGGGGGGGGGGGTCAAAATCCCTGCCTGCAAAGGACATTCATTAGGATAAAGAAGAAGACATAGTAAACAGGATTATTACCGGAGACGAATCATGGGTGTATCACTAACAGCTCGAATCAAAGCGTGCTTTAATGCAATGAAAACATCTTTCTTCACCTTGCGTTAAAATTCAAGGTTAGCCTCAGCAGGAAAGGTTATGCTGACAATGTTCTGGGGTTGTCAAGGTGTGTTTTTAACACATACAAAACAAAAAGGTGACAATATGAATGCTGATTCATATTGTAAAGTTCTGTCGATGCTTTATGGTGCAATTCGAAGAAAAACTTTCAGGCCTGCTGACTAACGGACTACTGCTCCTTGGTGACAACGCCAGACCACATACGGCTCAGGAGAAAAACTAACCTTCAAGGCTGGGGAGGAACATTCACATTACACCCCCGTCTTAGCCCTTCGCGATTTCCGCCTTTTTGGTTCACTGAAAACCCACCTTGGTCGAGATATTTCGCAAATGACATTGATTGTGAAGCAATATTTTTTTTTTTTAAAGAAAAATTAAGGACTGATAAAATGATGGGACAGGTGCATCAATGTTGTTGGAAACTATGTTGAAAAATAATGGGGCAGTGTTTGTGTAAAAAAAAAAAAATTGTTGTCAAGTTGTCGTCTTTTGTTTTAAAACAACATTTTGTGGCTTACTGATTGACGTGTCTTCGTACAAGGGAAACTCTTCGGCCAAGTTGTTAAACCGTTTACTTCGCGCTGATAAGGTTGTAAGTCCAGGTACGGACCCCTTTTTTACGTTCACCAGTGTTGTTGTTTCAGAGATCATCGAGGAGGCGGCCGGCACTGCAGAGTTCATGCTTCATGTGACGCTCTAGACTGGCGTTCATCCGCTCTGCGGAAGGAGACCGAACCATACAGGATAAGACTAGATACCGTGAGGTCATCCTTTCACCTTTCTACAGGTTTACGTTTACTGGTGCTGGGAGATAATTCACATTTAGTATTACCGCTGTGATTTGTATAAACAAGATCATAAACCCACCACACACACACACAGAGAGAGAGAGAGAGAGAGAGAGAGAGAGCAAAGCTTGACTGTCTGAGATTTGCTGCTGTTGGTTTCTTACCCAAACTCTGATTTCTTGAGTCGTTGCGTACTACTCCTTCAGACTGAAAGCCTTTAAAATGTGAGGTTTTTTTTTTTTGGGGGGGGGGGGGGGGGGGGGGGGGGGGTGGGGGGGGGGGCGGCAACATGTTGAAATGCAATGCTTGTCTGTGGTCACATACCAGACAGTGTAGGCTAATGCGGAGTTTTCTCTTTCACACAGGACGAGAATGCCAGCTACGATGTCAACGGGCACGACCCAGACCCACAACCTCGCTATGATTATACTAACGAAAACAGGTGAGTTGGTGTGTGCGTGCGCGCGCGCCAGTGTGTGCTTTTACTCGTTAACCACATGGTTTTTTTTTTTTTTAAATGCTATTTTTCGTTCCCTGCAACTTCTGCTCGTCTAAAAATATTACATCAGCGCGCCCCCGTTTCTTGCCTCAGGAGAAAAATCAAAGCGAAAAGCACTTGAATGAAACGTGCGAAACGTTTTCCCTTGACACGGCAGTGGACCTTGAACCTGTTCAGCAGAAAGATGCTTGATGTGAAAACATGCATTTTTATTCTGCTGAGTTAATGGAGGTGCTCTTGACGGCCTTGCTCTTACCAAACATCTCACACTTGCCTGTAAATCACGAACACTGTCTGAGAGTTTGTTAGTTTGTCCATTCAGCGTTGATTCGAACCATGTCCCCTCAGCGTTGATCCGAACTTCTTGCCTACTCTGTGCACAACACAAATGAATGTACCATACAAACAAGAGAACCTTACTTAAATTAAATGCCCCCGATCCCCCCCCCCCCCCCCCCCGCTTGGAGGCATTGGGTTCGAATATGCGTTTAGGCACGCACGCTAGCATATGTCGTCAGCCAAGTCCCGTCACTGATGATTCTAGCTTCTTGCCTGCCGTACTACTGCTTTCTGTACCAGACAGCTTGGATGGCCGCAGTGCTAGCCTGCCGACCCAAAAGTCTTAGGTTGAGACCCACGTAAAGGCATGTCATGCACCCTGTCAGAGGTCAACCATGTCCTTTACACCGCGATCCAATCTATTCTTCCTTACTAAATGTTGTCCCCCCCGCCCCCCCCCCCGAACCCCCGCTTGCAGCGGCGTTTGGTTCGAATATGCGAGTTGAGGGGGCATAAATCGCTAGGCTATTAGTTGTCGTAAGCAAAAAGTCAAAAGTCACATGATGATTTCAAAATCTTGCCTTTAAAAACTGCTCTTTTCTGTACCATACAAATTGATAGAGGATGGCCGCAGTGCTAGCCTGCCGATAGATAGAAAGATAGATAGGATAGATAGATAGAAAGGATGTATGCACCCTGTCAGATAGATCATACCATGTCCTTTCACCGATCATCTAGTATAGGATCCTTAGATAAGGATGTTGATGATACCATAACAGCTAAGAAAGATAGATAGATAGATAGATAGATTGGCTATAGACTAGACGGTTGAAATCTAAATCGAGGCTAGTTTCAAAATAGATAAGCTCAAAAGAATCCATAGATTTCTAAAATAGTGCTTTAAAAATGGGCCTTTCCTGTTAAAATAGATAGATAGATAGATAGATAGATAGATAGATAGATAGATAGATAGATAGATAGATAGATAGATAGATAGATAGATAGATAGATAGTAGATAGATGAGGATGGATGGATGGATGGATGGATGGATGTATATGGATGGATAGATGAATGGATGGATGGATGGATAGATGATGGATAGATGGATGGATGGATGAGATGATGGATGGATGTGATGGATGGATGGATGGATGGATGGATGGATGGATGGAGGATAGATGGATGAGATAGATAGATGATATGGATAGATGGATAGATGGATGGATGGATAGATCGGATAGATAGATAGATATGGATGGATAGATAGATGGATAGATGGATAGATTGATGGATGGATGGATAGAATGGATTGATGGATGAGATGGATAGATGGCTGGATCAGATAGATGGATGATAGATGGATAGATAGATGGATGGATGGATAGATGGATGGATGGATGGATGGATGGATAGATAGATTGATGGATGGATAGATCAGATTGATGGATGGATGAGATGGAATAGATGGATAGATAGATAGATAGATAGACTGACTTAAAAACAAAAGAAACTGTGCACGCAAGTGTATCCGCTTTCGCGTTTTTTTTATTACTTTGTAAATAAAATATCTACTCGGGTGTGTGAAAAGCAGACTCAAATGTTGTTTACCGTGTTCAGTGGACATGTGGACGTGAATTACGTGGGTCTTTGTAATCGTTACAATGCAGTGGTTAATTGTGTTTAAGACCATATTTAAGAGCATAGCTCACGTCGCGCGCATGTGAAAGCAACACAATTTGCCGTGAACACTATTCACTGCCTACGCAATTCAAACCCTATCAAAGGATAACGCTAATACCAAAACGATCACTTCATTTTTTCAAGCAGTCCTGAATGGCGCCTTTATCGATCAGTTTAAGGAATATTGCTATTTGCCGATTGCAGGCAGGAGAAAGTTAAAGTCAGGCTGCCAGGCATCTAAACGTGCATCAGAGTACCGTCAGTTGACTTTGGCACCGGTTCCAAGGAGTGACAACAGCAGCGGAGAATCGCTTTTTTCGGCTTCGTCACCTCAGAGACAGGTTTACAACAGCTTCCTCAACTGCACAGAAATTACCTCCAGGACGTCATGGGTCTGATCAAGATGTTCGGAACAGATTGCATGTTGTTGGACTTTGGGCTTGACGATCACACCGAGGACCTGTCCTTACGCGTCGCCACCGCCAAAATCGACTTCTTTGGGCCAACCAACATCGTCCTTGGGCAGGTGACAATCAGTAGAGACGTTTCTGGTTCAGTGACGAATCTTTCTTTTTGTTGCAGCGTCATGATAGTCGGCGTAGAGTCTACCGTAGACGAAATGAAGGTTTAGTCCAAAATTATGTTGATGAAGCTCTGCTGCACTGTGGTGGAGGTGTCATTGTATGGAGAATGATCAGTTTCAGCGGAAGGAGTCAATAGGTACACATTGAAGGACGCTTGAATACGGAACGATACGTCCATAAAATTCTTCAACCACATTTCCTTCCATTTTGGAATGCCAACAGATATCTTTTTCAACAGGACATCGCCAGAACCCATTCTGCACAGCTGCCAATAACATTCAAAACCATCACTGGCATCCTTGTCTGCAGACATGAGTCCGATTGAGCACCTGTGGGATGAGCTGCAAAGACGTGGTTGTCGCCGAAACGTTGTTCCAGCCAGTGGTCGTGAGCTGCTCCAGGCACTGCAGGAAAAGTGGACAGCCATCCCACAAGCCCACACCAGACATCTGATTGCATCCATGCCCAGGAGATGCCAGTTACTGATCCATGCAAGAAGAGGCCACACACCAAACTAACGGAAAAGGCCTACACTCAAAAACAATCGTGACCCAGATGCAAAAAAAGGTGTCAATTGATTGGCGGAACCCTAAGGTATCCTTTTGTAAAATGTGAGTAATTTCACTTACTGCATTACAAAGATGCAGAATGTAAACGTTGTGAGTATGTTTGTTCCTTTCAGTAACTATGCGTTTCTTTTTTTTTTTTTAACAGTGTAGATGAATAGATAGAAAGGTAGGTAGGTAGGTAGACGAATAGGATAGATAGAGCGAGAGAGATGGGGGGAGAGAGAGAGAGAGAGAGAGAGAGAGAGAGAGAGAGAGAGAGACGCAAAGCTACTTAAAGAAACATAATTGTAGCATAATTTAAACATTCAAATTTGTGTAATTTAGTGCGTGAAATTGTTAAAATTGCACAAAGGAATACCTTAGGGTTTACCGACTCAGTTGACAGTTCTTTTGAATCTGGTTCATGGACAGTTTTTAGCCGTATGGGCTTTCCCGTCAACTAATAAAAATAGTTTAAATAATGCGGACACAAACAATAGTTTCTCTCGACACATCGTGGTGTGTTTTGGCCGCCGGAAGCTCACTAGTCACGTGACTGCCAGGGTAACTTCAAATTTACCACAAATTCCGTCTGTTTACAAATGAGGGGGTTGTTGATTTTAATTGTTAAAACTTCGGCCATTCTCAACAGTCACCTGTTCGGAGTGTGATAAACCACACGGAAAGCAGTGTCTGTGTAAATTACGTGTCCGGAATTAAGTAGATGAGGGTTCCTACCAGAATCACATTTTGGAAACATCTTCAAGCTATGGGCAAATAGTGTATGTACCTTGAGAATGTGCACGTACCATATTTCGCTGGCTGTTGAGGAGGGAGGCGGTGCTAATGTGGGCTTTTCCCGAATGCTGTGATGTCGAATCTTTACCTAGATGGTAATGGCGCCCCCCCCCCACCCCCGCCTCCTCCCCCGCGGATTTAATGTATTTCATTGCTAGTTGATTCTACTCAGTGAACAGATAGAAACTAAACTATAAAGCGAATCCCGCTAGTCTTGGGCCCTCTGTGAACTGCGCCCTAACAGATAGTATTGGCTTTACCGGCGGAGGTAAAGAGGAAAAATAATGAGTTTTCTGAGGGGCGGGGGGAGGGGGGGGGGGTTGTTAGTTTTTTAACCCTCTGTATGTTGTATATCGCTGTGCGCGCCCATATATCCCACCGCCGCCTGTCCATAATTGCCTTCCTTTCCGTGGCGTCGGTCGAAAGTTTCCACCCTGCTGAATTGTCTGTCTATCTGTCTGTCTGTTTGTCTGCCTTCTGTCTGTATGTCTGCCTGCCTGCCCGTCTGTCTGTTTGTCTGTCTGTCTGTCTGTCTGTCTGTCTGTCTGTCTGTCTGTCTGTTCTGTCTGTCTATCTGTCTGCCTTCCAACCCCTTCTCGTTTTCTCTTCACATGTGATACTGTCTGTTCTGAGATTTAGTGTCTGGTGATGCAAGTTGTCGAGTATTGACAACAGGTTTATTTGTACTAGGTGGCTAGCCCGCTGGGCTTGTCTGTATATTCAGCCAGTGGTAACAACAAGGGCCTGAACTTGTTCTTCCCTCTACTGATTGAATGTGTTGGGTAGTAGAGCCAACAAACGATTGCGGGAGGGAAATCGTGGTCTTTTGTCTCTCGGTCGGTCAATCGTCAGTCTGATTGACTGACACACAGAAAGACGAACGGATGAACGGGGTGGATGGATAATGGATAGAGCATGCATGGATGACTAGATGGGTGGATGAGTGGGTCGATAAATGAGCGGATGGGTGCATGAATGGAGGTGTGGATGGATTGATGGTGAAATTAGTATAAAGAACTGAAAGAAAGGTACAACAAACTGTTGTAAAGAAAT